CGATAATCATATTATAATGGATTTTACTTAGTTTTGAATTCGAAGAGAAAATATTCTTAATAAAGTATATTGTCACATGCTGAGCCTTTGTACCCCATGCCCTTCCATATAAAGCACCCTAAAATCACCATTTGGGGGGTTGTCATTGCAAGTTAGTCATTTTCTAGTAAAACCTTGAGGACGGGGACCCCCTGCCACATTTGGACAGTAGCACCTTGCACATTCAGGAGAAGTCAGGCTGCTGTGGACGGCTGCTCTCAAATATGGAGATTAAAAAAAAAACAAAACAAACAAAGAAAACCCTTGAGATTCTGTGTTCCTTGAGCCACTTCCAGTCACAACTGGCTTCCTAGTCATTCCATCTGCAGTGAGGGAATGCGTCAAACTTTCAGTCTTTGGATTTCTGACCTATGTGACGATCATAATTCTCATTTGTAAATTAATTAATTTGATTTGATATGTTAAAATTACAGACAATCTAAGACGAACTGGCTGAGAAAGGAGCCTCGCAGGCTACACTTCCTATGGTTGATCTCAAACACCGACATTCATTTTTCTAGATCAAGTTACTTTCTTACAATTTTTTAACTGAAAAAAAGAAAAAACGAAACAAAAGAAAACAACAACATTAAGTAATATCTGGGTGGGGTGGGGAGAACCACCCATAAGCGTAGCATATCAGCTAGTTTATTTGTACCTCCTAATTCCTGTCTGCATGCCTTTATAGGACACATACCATTTCATATTCTGCTGTGCTCACTGAAGCTAGTGTCATAAATGCATTTCCATGTTTCTGCATGGCTTTTGTGATTCAGTGCGTATCTTAACAGCAAAGTTGGGTAAATGGAGTAGACACCTCACTTTCAAACCAACACTTTTCTATGCATTGTTTAGAATCACAGCACGCTTGGCAGGCCTCTGCTTGGTATACGATTGTATTGTAGTGACACGATTTATGGCTGGTGTGGTGGCCAGCTAGCCGACATCTACAAGAAGCCTTGTTCTCCAAAAGGATTTCCTTTGAGGGTGATGCCAGTACTCCAATTGTGCCTGAACAGCTGAAAAAGAAAACAAGGAAAGCCGTATTATTTTACAATTGTTAGTATTCAAAAGGAAATTTCACTATGCCTGGCAAGGCAGACAAAGCTACAGATGTCTACTCTTTCTCTGTATACACCCCAAATGGTCAACCTTTCTGAACTGACAACAGGCTACTCCCATCTTACTTTATTTAGTACAGAACAACAAATGGGCCCTCTTTTGTTTTGGCCGTGCTGGCCAAAGAAAGTCGTTCGTTCAAACACATGATGATTCAAAGCTGAGTTTCTGTTTAGACTCATGTTTCTGGGCTGACTTTTTTCAGCAACATATCGCCTTCCAAAAAGGAGGCAGCTTGTAAACTCCCTATGAAAATAGGGAGCATGCTTATAAATTCCCCAGGACTTAGCCGTGGGGCTTTGTTGCAGAGAAGAGTGAACTTGGAAGACCTTGGGTAGATCTTAACGTCTCGATGCATGTTCCTTCCTTCCAGTGCTGAGCAGATAAGGTTAGATTAACGTAATGAGAGTTTTATGTTCCAGATGAAATCAAGAACCTCAGGGGAAACTTAGACATGGGTATGAACTCATTGTCACGTCACACTTGGCATGCCTTGAAATATTTTGAGAGAATGATACACCACCTCGCATTACTATGATTAAAACTTTATTCGATACAGTAATGTCTTTCAGATACCAATTTTCCTCTGCTTTTATGAGACCTGTTGGAAGGTGAATAAGTGACTCAAGAACGCGTTTATATCCTTAACCTTTTACGCCACAGTAAAGCTCAGAAGTTTCTGTTTTAAAGATGTAAAGGACAAGCAGCATTTCTTCCTTAATATTCTCCCCTGACTCCACCCTTCAGAGAATTTTCTCAAACCTGTAATAACTGTTTTTAAAGGAATTTCAAAACGATATGCTGGATGGTCGTAGCTCTTTCTTCCCTAAAAAATCCAGGCGTGAGGCTTCGGTTCTTTGTAAAAGAGAACTGAATTGCCGAATATCTAACTTGGATTCAGAGTACCTGTGCCATTGCTGCCCACTGCCCTGTTGAAACGCCAACATTTTTGGTTTATTTTTTTGACGAAAGAATTGCTCATATATTTTGGCGTGGCGGCATATATTTGTCTCATTTAGAATTGTAGTAGCTTTCACTGAACTCATGAGAATGACTGAAATGAAGCTGGTGGACTTTTTTTCCCCCGGCAAAGTCATTTATTTTCATTGTAAAAGTTTTTTTTTTTTTCCTTGAGGTATAATTGACTTATAACATTGTATTAGTTTTAGGTGTACAACATAACGGTCCAGTATTTGTGTATATTGTGACATGACCACCACAATGGGACGAGTTAACATCCATCGCCTCCCATAGTTACGCATTTTTTTCCTTGTGATGAGACCTTTGATGTTTACTTCTTGACCCCCTCCCCCCTTTTAGCCTCCCCTCCAATTTGGCAGCCATCAAAGTGTTCTCTGTATCTTTGAGCTTGTTTCAGTTTTGTTCGTTTGTTCATTTTGTCTTTAGATTCCACATATAAGTAAAATAATATGGCATTTGTCTTTCTCTGTCTGACTTACTCCACTCAGCACAAATACTCTCTAGGTTTATCCATGTTGTTGCAAATGGCAAGATTTCGTTCTTTTTTATGGCTGAGTAGTATTCCATTGTATGTATATCCCACCTCTTCTTTATCCATTCATAAATCAGTGGGCACTTACGTTGATTCCCTATCTCGTCTCATAAATAATGCTGCAGTGAGCATGGGGTGCATAGATCTTTTTGAGTGCGTTCATCTTCTTCGGATATATACCTAGAAGTGGAATTGTTGGGTCATAAGGTAGCTCTGTTTTTTAATTTTTGAAGAACCTTGATACTCTTTTCCTTAGTAGCTGCACCAATTTACATCCACACCAACAGGGCATGAGAGCTCCCTTTTCTCCACGTCCTCACCAGCACCTGTTATTTCTTGTCTTTTTCTTAACAGCCATTCTAACAGGGGTGAGGTGGTATCTCACTGTGATCTTGCTTTGCATCTCCTTGAAGATTAGTGATGTTGAGTACCTGTTCATGTACCTGTTGGCCGTCGGGACATCCTCTTTGGGAAAATGTCTATTCAGATCCTCTGCCTATTTTTGAATTGGGTTTTGGGGTGGTTGTCGTTTTTTTTTGCTATTGAGTTGTGTGAATTCTTTCTATATTTTGCATATTAACCCCTTATTAGATATATGATTAGCAAATATTTTTCTCCCATTTGTAGGTTGCTTTTTCATGTCGTTGATGGTTTCCTTTGCTGTGCAGAAGCTTTTTAGTTTGATGTAGTTCCACTTATTTTTTTTAATAAAGCCGATGAATTTTTACAATTAAGTCAGTCAGCTAGGATGCCTACTGTGTGCAAGGTCGATGGATTCTAATGGGGTCTGAGATCGTTTTCCTGCCAAGAAAATTAACGCCTGAAGTCCAGAGCTCAGAAAGGGAATAAGGACTTCACACAGGCCCACCGCACGCACATCCATAGCTGCCTGCTTCGGCTTATCTGTGTGAAAGGGAAAGCCTCTGGATCAAAATTTTCCCACAATGTTTACTCTGTTTCAACCTCTGTTAGAGTGTGAGCGAGCGAAACCTCCTTGATGATTTTTCTCAGAGCGGGGGGCTGCTGAGTCATGGCTGTGACTCCCGTTCAGAGACGGTTCACCTTTGTGCCATCCCAACTTGGCTTAGGGCCCATCACTAGGGGAAGTGACTTGAGGGACGATAGGTTGGCTACTTTTGAGGAAAAATACGAGGGCTAGAAGGAGCCTGTGAGTCTTCTTGTCCAGGCAGTGGCGTTGGAGCCAGCTCATACTCATTGTCAATGTATTAAAATTAGTAAAGCCATCATTAAAATTAAATTGTATAAACAGAGTTGAAGAAATTACGTTAAAAACAAAGGTGATAAATACTCAAAATACGTCACTTCCTCATTATTTTACTACGCTTTACCGTCATCTACGCTCTTCAGATTATTTGTCCGTTGAAAGTACCCAGCGTTGTCATGATAGTAAATCGGACGTAGCGAAGGTATTTGGAGTGCAGCAAGATAGGTTTTGGTGAGCATGGTGGCCAACACCTATGAGAAGCCTTGTTCTTCAGAGGATTCCCTTGAGGGTGATGCCAGGGCTCCAGAAAATGCTACAAGTTATGGCTTTTTTTTTTTTTTTTGTCTAGAAAGCCAGTTATTAAATATTCAGCAGCACCCACTGGGCCCAGCCCACTCATTTTTGTCTGTGAGACTGGGGCGCAGAGATGGACAGAGGCTGGTCCAGAGTCCTACAGCCAGGAACCAGTGGGGCTAAGACTCAGCTCGGTCCCCTGGCGCCTGTTTCTGTTACACCACACAGGGGTGGGGGTCAGGCTTAGCCGTGAGCGCTGGTCTCCGCGTTTCCTCTGTCGTAGGTGAAAGCGCTCTGGGCACGAGGGTCAGAAACGAGGAGACGGGAGACATATCAGAAATCGAATGCAGTTGCCAGAGGAGGGGTCTTCTGCTCCCTCATGATCAGTAACTGGGACACGCCAGAGGCGGCAGAGAACGGACACTGAACTCTGTCTCTCGTGTAGGACGAGCACGTTATTGAGTGGAAGAATGACTAAATAATGAGTGACACGTATCACCACCGGACGTTACGTTATGTGTTTGCTAATTTATTTTGTATCTTCTCGTAAGAACGCAAGCTCCATGAGGGCAGGGACATTGTCTTGTGTGCTGTTGTCCACCCCAGCGCATAAGAAGTGCTTGATAAATGTTTTTGAATGAACGAATGAATGAACGAACCAGTCTTGCCGCTTCTTGGCATTACACAGCACCAACTCCCAGAGGACGTGTTGTGCAGAGGAACATGCCTGGTGGGGGCCACTGCAGGGAGCCCTCTAACCATTTGTCAGGCCGCTGGACTCTCAGTGACCATCTTTCTCTTTCTTCTCAGATGACGGAGGGCCGTCGATGTCAAGTACATCTCCTTGATGACAGGAAGCTGGAACTCCTAGTACAGGTAAATGACTTTTGGCCGACTTTCTGAGTTCCTTCTGAGACTGATGTGGTTCAGACTTGGACTCAGCTGAGGGATGGGGGAGAATGGAAACTGTTTTCAAATCCAAATCTGTTAAAATCTGTGAGAGGAGCACTAGGACACACCCTGGTATTTGTGTGTGTGTGATTGCTATTTTCGTTCATCCCGTTTCTTTGTACACCACCCCTAAGGCATTCAAGGCCACATGTACATCTAACCTATTGTTGCAAATCTCTAGAGAAGGAAATCCCACAACTGACATTAGCTATTCTTTCTGCTTGGAAGAAGTTAATTATAATATAACCTAAATAACTCTTGCTGCAACTAAATCTGTGTTCTAGTTGTCTAGAAAACAGTTTATTATTTTCGAATTAAGCTTTCGTGGATATGACGAAAGAGAAGCAATCTCTTCGCCTCTCTCCCCTATAAGAGCTGACTAACCCCTCTACCCCATCCTGGGGTCAGCACTGCCATCTCATTTTGGACATCTGGAGAAACTGACACAGGGGAAATGAATTGATCTTCAAACTAAGAACACAGTGGTGTCAGACAGGTCGGAGAAGCCATTGGAATCCTATAGGCCCTGATCTTTTCGGCTTACTCTTGGAAAAAAAAGCGTTGTTTGACCCAGAGCCCTAAAGCATGGTGAAGTTTCCAAACTTGATTTAAAGAACTTAATTTCAAATCTGTTGTTCGACTCCCACTTTTATAACCCTATTGGTTTCATATTCTCACATGTCTATCACATTCTTAGGGCAGTGCTCTTCATCAACCATCACGTTCTGCCATGAAGAAGCTACAGTTAGTTCATCAGGAGGGTGAAATAACACCCACATGCCCATTCACTGAGGGGTCAATACGGCTTCACTGGGGAGATTCACATGTAAATACTCTCACCTCGTGTTCCCTTGTACATGCTGCTCAGATTTCAAAATGATCCAGTTGCTAACTTAAAGAGTTAATATTTTTAATAGGATTTAAGTTATAAAGGCATTGTAAATGCAATGTAGGAAACAGAGAAAATAAGAAATAACTCATAATCACAGCACACTTATTCAGTTACAGTTCTCATTTTAGCAAATCTCCAGCATTCTTCATATTTGTATTTCTTGCATGGTTGGGATCGTAATGTATATATAATGCTATATTTTATTTTTCTACCTAACATTGTCATTCACTAGCCTTTTCCAAGTTATTGTAAGTTGTCATCTCTGTTAATGGCTGCATAAATCCCAGAAATGGATATGCCATTATTATCTAATCATTCACGCATTTGGGTACATTCAAGGGCTTTGTTTTTTGTTTGGTTTGGTTTTTACAGTTTTTACCACTATGACAGGAAAATGCTATGATTAATTTATCCATGTGGGTAGAATTCTCCCACATGTTGGATCATGTCCTTATTAGGCTAGATTCCTGGGCCTACAGTCTTATGGAGAGTGCAACTCGTGATATGAATTTGGGGTGTAAGGTAGTAGAGAGGAACTGTCAGGTGAGCATGATCTCTCCAATTAGCAGGATCTTGAGCTTTAACAAAGCACTTGGAACTTTAAGTGGCTCAAAATCAGTGTGAGTTCACAGGGCAATGGTCCAGTATGACTGAGACGCTTTGTTTTATATCAAAGCTTGGAGGCTTAGCAAGCAGCCACCTTCTGAAACAGGAAATGAGAGCTCAAGTGACAGGGAAGGTAGAGTCTCTTGGCCAGCCTGCCCTGGGAAAGAATGAGCAGAGGCATCTGAAATGGACTCGAATCCCAGGAAAGATATTTAATTACTGACAGGCAGAGTTTTGGAAAGGTCGTTCTAAGCCCTTCGCAACCAAGAAAATGTTGAATTAGACCAAAGAAGAGGAGTTCATATTCTTCCCTTCCCATTTTTAGAACACGCTTCACGTTTTACTCCCTCTTCCTAGAACATCATCTTTCCCATCCTCACCCCTGTACCCGCTGGCTTCCGTTAAATCTTTGGGTCACAGCTTAGAAGACACTTTCTCCCCTCCACCGACCAAGGCTTTCCTTTGCCCTATCCTCTGCCCCTCCCAAGTCTGTGTCTTACTGTCCTCCCCTCCCCCAGTGGTTTTCTCCTTACAGCACTGCCACGAGTCATTGTCACACTCACTGGCATTGCCTGTTTCCTTGCTGCATTTCCCAGAACCACCGACAAATTGAGGGCTGAGTCTGTGTCTTGAACACTGTGCCCTCAGTACCCAGCCCAATGCCTGGCACACATGTCGCTAAATAAATCCTTGTTGAGTAAAAGAGTGGGTGAATCCTCATGCCCTGATATTACTTCCCTAAAGGACTTTTTGCTACAGAATACAGAATGATTGCTTCGTAGGGGATTTAGTTTAGCACAAAAAAAAAAAAAAGAAGGAAAGAAAGGAAGAACGATTTTAACTACTTTCTTTCTACTTTATTGCAGAGTGGGCTTTGGCAAAACTTGGGGAAATAAGATTAAAGCTATTGAACAAAAGCCACCTTAAATATATGGCCTTTCTTTCTGCTCTGCGGCGTTCTGTTGTCCAAGATTATGTTCTTTTGACAGAATCCTTTCTAAAGGGAGTCCCTGCCCTCCAGCTCATTTGGACCTACCTCTAGGTTTTGAATAGCAGAAAACATTTTCACTTCCTACCCTTCTTTTAGATATCATAAGCTCATGAGGTGATAAGGTTCGCTGCTGCCAAAAGCTTCATTGTCGAGAAGAGTTTCCGAATGTTTGTAACAAGCCTTAGAGGAAGCAATGCCTCTGAGCCTTAGAGGAAGCAATGCCTCTCACCGTCTTTTGATCTGGAGTTGAGGCGATGGGCGGGGCAGACGTTTCCACATTTACCTGACAAGGTGTATAAGATGGAGAGTCAGGTTGGGAGGAAATGTGGAGGGCCACACCGGCTTCCCCGAGGGCGACAGGCACTCGTGAGTAGCATAGCGGCTGAGGTGGGAGGTTGGGTTTTTCGGCCACTAACTTTTAGAGTAAGAGACGCATCAAAGGCTACACCTCACCAGTGCTAGAAGACTGAGCTGACAGAATCAACAGGTAGCCATCGCTTCCCACCGGGAGGGTGCTGGTAACCAGCCAGCCACAGAGATCATTTTCTGTGGTGGTGTAGATATGACTAGTGTTAGTAGCATTTCCCTTCTCTGGATCGCAGAGCAGAATGGCCATAATCCCAACACATCATGCTCTCCCTAAAGCCCTTTGGGATTACTGAGTGGAGTCTGTGCTTCCAAATCCCTGATTGCCCCACAGAAATCCTCCATGATGCACAAGGGTGCAGGGAAAGGGTGGAGGTCAGGAATGCACACACTGGGGTTTGATATTCGAAAGGCTCATCCCTAAATCCACAAGCAGTTAGTTCCCTGACGTCCAGGACGTTACCATGTCACTCCTTAAATCCTTAATTCCAGTTGGAGAGACAAGGTGGACATTCAGTAAGAAATTAGCCTTATTCGTAGGTATAAGGACAGCTTGTCCAGCCGGCTCACCCTCCCATCAAACCCGGACACAATGTCTTTTGCTCTGTTTTCCAAAATTATTTCAACCTATTAGAAATATACTCGAAAAAGCCTGCATCTAAATAAGAGAGGTCTCCATCATGTACGTCTCCCAGGCAGCCTCTTCCTGAGGTGTCCACAGCCAGTGGAGAGGATGCCACGCGTGTTTTGTATTGAATTTCTCAAATCTCGTCTTCATACAGTTATTCCTTTAAAATTACTTTCTTCCCTTCTTTTTCTGATCTGCATGCATATTCAGGGGGAGCATTTTGAAAGCAAAGAAAGGGAAATGTGGTTTAGCCTTAGTGAGAATAATATAAGACTGAGAAGAATTAGGTTCTGGGCTCTTTCTCTTGGTGTCTTAAAAATAGAATAGATAGATTGTCACGAGATAGGCGTGGCTGAGGTGTGGCCCTTACTCACTGGAGTCTCCTGAGGCCCGTGATCCTGTGTGGTCTCCTGTCCTACAGGACAGGCCGGGACAAGAAGAACAGACACGAACCTTCTGCTCCCAGAGATGCCCATTTCATGGCTCTCGCCAGCGCTTTAGATGAGCAAGTAGTATGCTCTGCTGGCAGAATGCCTTGCTTTCGATGGCAGAGCCTTACAAATCACCCCTGCCACGATGGACCCCACTTTTTAAAATTTATTTTCTGGTTACATTTGACATGTAAGATTGTATTAGTTTCGGGTGTACAACACAGTGATTAGACATTTATATTCCTTATGAAGTGATCACCCCGATGCGTCTAGCACCCGTCTGACACCGTGCATAGTGATCACAGCTATTGACTATATTCCCGATGTTGGGCCTCATATCTATCTCAGTGGCTGTTTTTATAATTGGAAATTCATTCTTCTTAATCCCTTCGCCTTTTTCACCGCCCCCCCTTCCTATCTGGCTACTATCAGTTTGTTCTCTCTGAGTCTTTTTCTGTTTTGTTTGTTCATTTATCTTTTTTTTTTTTTAGATTCTACATATAAGTGAAGTCATACAGTATTTGTCTTTCTCTGTCTGACTTATTTCATGTACCATAATACCCTCTAGGTCTATCCGTGTTATCACAAATGACAAGATTTGATTCTTTTTTATGGCTGAGTGATATTCCATGGTATATATGTACCATATCTTCTTTATCCATTTGTCTGCTGATAGACACCGAGATTCCTTCCATATTTTGGCTACTGTAAATAATGCTGCAGTGAACATAGGGGTACATGTGTCTTTTCAGATTCGTCAGATGCCACTTCTTGTTTTGTTTAGGCGGCTGCCCGGCAGCGTGAGGCCGTATCCGAGGATTACTGTGTCTCTCACCTCTGACCCCCTCTCTCAGTGGCCGTGGGCAGCACGATTCTGCCAGTCTATTTCTGTTAAAACAGAGGAACCAACTGTCCCGTGGCTCTGAGAAGTGGAGCCAACTTCATCTAGTCAGTGTTTTTCCAAAGAATTAAAGATAGTAGCTGGTTTTTGTTGGACAAGGCATGGTGGCC